GACGGCCTGATGTCATCCATCATTAGGGCATTACTGTAATCACACGCCTGCAGATCCCCGGGGATCAATAACAGTGATCCATCAGGTCTGCAGCTCGAGGCGCCGGGCACCTGAGCAGAGTTAAAAGCCCCGCCCCAACACGGCCTCCTGCAGGAGCAACAAGTTTCAGAGATGGCATCTGTTTCACGATGAGCGTGACGAGACGGCGTTATTTTTGTAAACCTGAAGCTGACCGACAGGCGTTTGTTCCCACTGCGCTGAACAGAGTGACAAATGTTTAAAGTGATGAAGATGAAGGGAAAAAGTGAGAGCTCTGTTATTACTGCCAGTGTAGGTGTACTCGTATATGTGCCTGTGTGGGGACTGTGGTGTCATTAGCGTCCTCAGGGGACCCTGCAGTCACTGAGTGCAGCACTTCAGTAATTATTCAGTATGAAACTGGCAGCTATCAATTCTTTTGGTAACTTATCAAAGAAATAGGACGTTTCCTTATCGTCTGATGACTTTATGGAACGTTTTAGTGTGCCATCCTCAGACACCTGCACAAGGGCCAGTATTTGAACACGTTTCACGCTCACAGTAGAATCCAGTTCAGGGTCAGCGCCACAGTCCCCATATTGCATTATATTGCCACGGGTCCTCACAGAGACAGCTGGACTGGCGTGAGTGTGTGCTGCGGTGCGGAGGAGAGTGTTGGCGGTCGTAAAGTACAGGAAGCAGCTCGGTAAGTACAGATGAACCCTGAGTCTGTGGCAGGCCTGATTAAACATTAAAGTAATGGTGATCTGGATCCAGTCCAAACCTTTTCCCCGAAGCTCGGAGACCAGCAGGCCAATAATCTGTCTGCCAGCCTCGCTGCAGGGGGCAGAAGTATGTGGACGCGTGACTCAGTGTTCATTAATGCGCTGCTCTAAAAGCCTGCACTCGTGCGGTCTCAGTCCTGCGGTCGATGTTTGTCCCGCTGATATGACAGAACATTACAATGAACATTAACCCTTCACGAGGCAAAGAGCCAAGGTTACAGAGCAGCGTGACGCCTCGTTCATCATCCAGGCTTTGTTTGCTCCGGAGGACAGGCCAGACCACAAGTTTGTGGACGCTCCCGCAGTTGCTGCTTCATCTTTTGAGTTTGAAATGAGGAGAAAGCTTTGATGTGAGCAGGTGAACATCCTTCCGAAGGAAGCGTGACTCGTCTTTAACACGTACCTCCATGTCTGTACCCCCCACCCCTCCGCGCACACACACCAGCCCAAACAGCTGGACGGCAGACTGACACTTACTGTCGTTGGCACCAAAGTTAAACTGTAACTTGAGTGATGATAACATAAAATAATAATAATGAGAACATACATATGAGTGATGTCTCAGACTGGATACACAGTGAGCGACGTCATCGTCCTCTGTTACTGAGCAGCTGCAGACCAGATGTGCACCTGATGTACACCAACTGCTGCACCTCCACCCACCAGTCTGTCAAGCTAATCAAGTTCGCAGATGACACCACCGTCATTGGGCTCATCTCTGACGGGGATGAGTCTGCCTACAGGAGGGAGGTTGAATGTCTGGTGTCCTGGTGCAGCCACAACAACCTGGTGCTGAATGCCCAGAAGACAGTGGAGATTATTGTGGACTTCAGGAAGCACACAGCCCCACTCCCCCCCATCATCCTGTCTGACACCCCCATCACCTCTGTGGACTCATTCCGCTTCCTGGGTACCACCATCACCCAGGACCTGAAGTGGGAGCCCACCATCACCTCCGTCATCAAGAAAGCCCAGCAGAGGATGTACTTCCTGAGGCAGCTGAAGAAATTCAACCTGCCAACACGGACGATGATGCAGTTCTACACTGCAATCATCGAGTCCATCCTCACCTCCTCCATCACCGTGTGGTACGCTGGAGCCACTATCAGAGACAAACAGAGACTGCAGCGTGTTGTGCGCTCTGCTGAGAAGGTGATTGGCTGCAGACTCCCATCTCTGCAGGACCTGTACACCTCCAGGACACTACGGCGTGCAGCCCGGATCTCAGCTGACCCTTCTCACCCTGGACACAGTCTGTTTGACCTGCTCCCCTCAGGCAGGAGGCTCCGGTCCATTCGCACCAGAACCTCTCGCCACAAGAACAGTTTCTTCCCCTCTGCTGTCGGACACATGAACAATAACCGTATGACTGTCCCCGCCACTAACACATGACCCTACGCTGTGTCACTGCATCATTCCATGTTTGGCACTGATCACCACCTGCACTCATGTATATATCTTTCTACGTAGCACTCATAATTCTTATTCTCATGTATATATCTCATGTATATCTCATGCACATATCTTTCTTTCTACATAGCACTTTAATTCTTATTGTCTGCACTGAAGCACCGCAGCAATTTCCTAATGTTGTAAACCTCAACATCTGGCAATAAACCCATTCTGATTCTGATTCTGATTCTGATGTGAGCGAGGTCATAGAGATGCTCACCTGGTTGTTCCACAGCGTGTCCGCAGCACTCGGCGTTGTTCTGCGCTACACTGAACCTCAGTCAGACTCATGTTTGAATTGTGCTCGCAGCGCCCTGCTGAACTTTGACCTCTGCCTGAAACCATGTTGAAGGAGCGTGAAGCGAGACGTTTGTCTTGAAACCTCGAAAACGATGAAGAAATAAGGACCGAGCAGATGCTCCGCCTCAGCACCCCGGGTCACATGACCACGCGGAGCAGAAACATTTCTAAGCATCGGTTCGTCTTAGAAACATAAGTGTGCAGCACATGTACTCTATTACAACCCGAACACACCTGACAGCGCTCAAGTTACACTTTCCAACTTACAACGAACCAGAACCTGAACCTGAGCAGCTGAAACATGCCGATACGTTGAGCCGGACTCGGATCGACCTCCGATTGGGGTGGTTCCGTGTGGTCGTTGGTGAGAGGAGGGCGGAGACAACAGCCTCAGAAGATCACGTTTAACGCCATCTTTTATTTACAGTCTCACGGAGCAGGGCTCAGGTTTGTCTCCAAAAAACTGAATCTAACAGGTCAGAAAGACGATCACGACTGACCTCTGACAGCAGAGGAGGATGATGATGGTGGTGGTGGTGATGAGGCTCGGGGGTGGGGGGGTGTCTCGCGCAGCTGAGCTCATTAAAGCGCTTTTAAACGCGGATTATTTGCGGCTCCGTCTGCGCGCCGCATGAATACTAATGAGGCCGCAGCGCTGCTTAATCATGTTAGCGGAACAATATCAGTGCGCCATTTGTGCGCGTTCCCACCACCTCTTCCTCACCTCTCCTTTCACCTCCTCCCCGCCTCCCCCTCTTGTCTTCACGCGTGCCAGTCACCTGCCGCCCCCCCCCCCCCCCCCCCCCCACCGCCCCTGACTTCCCGCCTAAAGTGGATCCTGATTGGCCGTGAAGAGCGGGATAAAGGCGCGAGGACACCGGGCACGCTCACGGGCCTTTTTGTCGGAGAAGCTCATTAAAGCGTGTCCGCTTCAATACATGCGCGTCCCCGTCAGCAAAACCCTGCTCTGCTCCGGGAACGCGCGGCGGGAGAGACCCGGGGCCGAGGCCGCCGGAGGAGTCACCGAGCCCGGAAGGAGACACCGAGGACTCACCGAGGAGTCCCGGAGCAGATTGATGTCGGATTTTATATTTACATTCAAATAAGCACAAATATTAAGAACACACACACACACACACACACACACACACACACACACACACACACACACACACACACACACACACAAGCCCGTTCAGCTATCCCAGTGAGGATCTTCATTGACATAGTGCTTTCGCTAACCATTACAGATGAACGCCTGACCCTAAACCTGACCATAGCCCTGACACTAAAACCACATTTGGAGCCTCAAAAAGGCTTCAAACTTGTGAGACCGGTGTGTGTGTGCGCGCGCGCGGGTGCGTGCGTGCGTGCGCGTGTGTGTGTGTCCTCACAAGTGACTGTTCTCACAAGTAAAGTAGAATGCAGATTTCGGTCCTCACAAAGATAGCTAGACAGGTACACACACACACACACTCACTTCATGACGCTGTGTGTGTGTGTGTGTGTGTGTGTGTGTGTGTGTGTGTGTGTGTGTTTGGACAATAAATGTTTAAAAGCTCATAAATACAGATCAGAGTGAGCGAGAGAATCATAATCCTGTTGAGAGACAGCGGGAGGATGAGGAGGAGGTGATGAAGAAAGCAGCTGTTGTCCTCTAATCGGTTTTTCTGCTCTGTCACTCAGCCCCCCAAACACACACACACACACACACACACACACACACACACACACACACACACACACACATTCCTGCGCTTCATTTTCAAACCTGTTAAACAGAAGAAATCTGTGTTAGATTGAATTTCAAACACACAAATGACACATTTTACATTCATCTGCATTTGTTGTGTCAGCTTGATTAAAATGATAACAATGTATCAGTCATCGGTTTATCATCAGTTACAGTTTCTGAGCTGTGGGCGGGTCTCAGTCTGATGTTAGGATCATTTTTCTCATATTTGATCGATGGATTTGATTTTTGTTATCGCTTTTAGTCTCCGCCCAGTTTTGTGACGTAGTTGTAAACTGAAATGTTTCCTGTTTTTGTTTTTAACGATCAGCTGTTTGATCGCTGTTTGTTTGATCAGCTGCCCATGAGCCTGACCTGCGGGCTGAAATCAAACTACCAACCCTGCCTTCAGGCAGGAGCAGGTGAGCTCTGAAACACGCGCCAGGAAGCTGACCTGCGCATGCGTGAACACCTGCCCTATGAGGTCCTGCCCTAAGAGGGCTTGGACCTCCGCGGGGCCTCGGTCCAGTACCGGCCCGGCTCCGCTCCTCCCGGTGGGGTGTCGGTGTCACGAGCCGAGCTGTAAACGGAGCCAATAACAGCGCGTGCAGGATTCCCCCCTCCCTCTGTTAGAGGAGGAGGAGGTGATGGAGCTCCATATAAAGACCCCCCCACACGGCCCGCGCCCGCTTTGCTCCTGCTCCTCTCAGGATTTTAACTTCACCTCTTACTGAGACACGCAAGCTGCTCCTCTGCTCCTGTCTCCTCCTCGCTCCTCGGTCGGTGTAAAACAGGAGTTTTTGACTGTGTTTTTTTGTTTTTTTTTATTTGTTCAACGGGAGGATTTCTCCCTGACCCCGGCTCTGACCTCGGCTCTCCCCTCGGCTCTCGCCGCCATGGGCTCCGTGCTGCCCGGCTCCTCTCTGGGCCTGAAGCCGGGCTTCAAGCCTCCGCTGTCCCTCGCGGACATCATCACCTCGGACATCCTGCACAGCTTCCTGTACGGGCGCTGGAGGCACGTGCTGGGCGAGCAGCAGCACCACCCGCACCAGCATCACCTGCAGCACGAGGACCGCACCGCCCCGAGCGCGAGCCCCAAGACCGCGTTCACCGCCGAGGTGCTCGCGCAGTCCTTCTCCGGAGGTCAGTGACCAACCGTACAGCTCAGAAACGGAGACACCAGATAACAACAAGCATAATAATAATAATGATGATAATAATGTCAGTGGTAACTTTATTGTCTCCAATGGCAAATTGATTTGCAGTATGTCCACACATCACACAACACAAAAAACAAACAAACACACAAAATATTATTTTACTTATCCTACTATAATACTATTATTAATAACAACGACAATAATAATAATAATAATAATAATAATTGATCTCATTTCTTCTGTTTTTTTTTACTCGTTTTATTTATTCTCTATATTTACAAATATTTGCAAATATTTGTAAATATTTACACAAGTGTCGCATAAATTTTAATTTTGGAGCCTAAAACGAAAAAGATAAAAATCTTTAATGAAACAGAAAAAAGATTTAATTTAACCTTTAAACTCGTATTTAAAATAAATCTGTTAAACTGTTTAAATATGAATTTAAAATATTGATTCTTGTTTGTTTGTTGCTAATTATCCTCATCAATAACTGATCAGATTTGATCACATTCTTTGGATGGTTTGTTAATGAACAAACAGCTGCTGACTGATTGGCTCCTGATCGGTAATCACGTCCGTGATCTCTCTTTCAAAGCGCGAGCCGCGGCCCGTTTCTCGCTGTCGCGCGCTCACTTCTTTTTTATTTTAATGTGATTTTATTGTGAAATTCGTTTCCGTTCTGGGTGAAGTTCGTTGGGGACAATTTAGGAGGAGCGACCGGGCTTCGGGTGGATGCTCCGGGTCAACTCTCCGACGGACGTGTCGCGTTTTCCCGCGGCGGCCTCAGCTTTCATCTTCACGCCTTTACTCCCGCTTTTCTCTCCCCGCGCGCTCCTTCAGCTCTCCCGTATAATGTCCAGGGGGTTTTCCTGATTGTAGACGTGTTCTCGGGAACATTTCCTGCTGCTTCCATCAGGTATTCATCTTTCGGGGACTTTTTCATCCATAAACCGGCAGAAAAATGCGCTCCGAGCGTTTCCGACGCAGTTTAAAATGCGTTTAAAAAGTTCGAAGCAGCGCTGTCATTTCTATTTTCATTTTTGAATTCCAATTGTAGAAGCAGGAGTGACACATGTTGACATGAAAATCTGCGCGCTGTGTTTGTGTCCAGAGGTGCAGAAGCTGTCCAGCCTGGTGCTGCCCAGTGAGGTGATCATCGCCCAGAGCTCAGTCCCAGGTAAGCTCACCTGTAAACCTCTGTGGGTTTGCTGGTCTCTCTTTAAAGACCAGCCGCAGATCACCGGTGCCGTGTTCTTCTTACGCCCTCTCTTTACTGTTTTCTGTGGTCCCAGGAGAAGGTCTGGGCATTTTCTCCAAAACCTGGATCAAAGCGGGGACAGAGATGGGTCCGTTCACCGGACGCCTGGTGTCACCTGAACACATCGACCTGTACAAGAACAACAACCTGATGTGGGAGGTGAGGCGACGTTCACGTTCAGACTGCTCTGTCCCAGCTCTCATGTTTTGGTGTCTTTCTTTTTCCTTGGATTTTTTTTCTAGAGCAGCTTTGTGTGTTTCATAATGAAAAATAACCCTTCTTATCCTCTACTGGAAAGCAGCTGTTTGTGTTCCCTAAAAATAAATAAATAAATCATTAAAAACAAAAACCCTTGTCTTTGTCAGAGGAAGGTTTTAGGTTCAGTGTTGCCCCCATGGAGTTCCCCAAGGCTTGATTCTGGGGCCGTGTCTTTGCTCCCTTTAAGCTATAAGAAGTCTGCCGACTTTCTACCAGCTGTCAGACTAACTCACTCAATTTTAACACTCTACTTAATTAGTCACCTACGAGCTCCCCGCTAACTTATAAAACTCACAGCGAGCAAGTGGCTGGCTAAATGCAAACATACTTGCTAAACAAATACCTGAAGGCTAACTCAATGCTAACCATCGAGTCTTTCAGCTTATTTCCAGTGTTAACTAGCTGCTGGCTGGACCTTTACAGACAAACCTCAGTATTTACTTAAAGTTTGCTGGTTAAGAAGTTTAGTGACTTGATTTTAGCATATTAGCTAGCTCACACCTAACTAACAAGTCAATTGCTACCTAGCCAGCTAATTGGTTTATCAACAACATGGTTAACTGTTAACTATCCAACTACTTGCAACAAGTTACATGGCTAATCTAACTTACAAACTTATATGCTGATTCTTAGCTTGCTATTAAAATAACTGAACCAACAGATTAGCAGGATGATAACTAACTGTTAACTGATCCTCATATGCAGTTCCACTGGTTAGCATGTCAAAAAGCTTAGTTATTATCTGTGTATGAGGTCTTTGAAATAACCCCCTAGTGAGAACACTAAACTAATGACTTTAGCTGGAAATGGTGTTTACTTTCTTCTTCCTGCCTCCCTCCTCAGGTGTTTAATGAGGACGGCACAGTCAGGTATTTTATCGATGCGAGTCAGGAGGACCAGAGGAGCTGGATGACTTACATCAAGTGTGCCCGGAATGAGCAGGAGCAAAACCTGGAGGTGGTGCAGATCGGCAGCAGCATCTTCTACAAGGCCGTGGAGGTTAGTGAAACTCGCCATGTTCCAGCTCCTCAGGTATCATCGCACCTGCTTCCACCTGCAGGGTGACATCATGTGACCCAGGTACATGTACACCTGCGTTCACGGAGAGATGTTGGTGGTTTGGAGGCTGAGGTTCTTGGTGGTTCAGGGATCTTTTCCTCCTCATGTCTGCTCAGAAGTATTTATCGTTGCTTTTATCAAACCGCCTGCTGGAACAACAAAGGAATAAATAAAGGAAGGCGACCATGTTTCAGTGAATAAACCCAACATCACTGCACACCTCTACAGACTCTACACGCCTCTTAACTTACACCATAAACGTGCACACAAAGGTCACTGAAGCAGCACAGCAACTACAGAAACAACCAAAACAGCCAAAAGAGCAGTGGAGCAGAGGAGGGTGTGGTTATTCCACGTCGCTTCATCATGTTTGGAAAAGCTGATCTCAGATCAGCCTGAGAAGACTCCAGATCCATGTGAAGGAAACATGGGAAGCTTCAGCGCGCTGCCGTCACCTGTTCTCTAAAATAAATCCTTGAGCGATGAAGCTCGGCCTGATTTCAGGCGCCGTTCTTCGACCGGCTCCTCCAGGTGTCTGAGCGTAACCCTCCACTCGATGCTCGAAGGTTAACGACATGCAGCTGAAATTTAAACAGATTTGAACTGAAGAAAAGAAAAACATAAATTCTGAAAATGTTTCAGAATTTATGACAAGTTTGAAAGAAAGAATCAAATATTTACAATAAAACAATAATACTGTGATAATGAAACGCAGTAATGTTGCTATGATAAAGTAAACGCTGATTCAAGTATTTATTGCTCTTCCTCTTTTCTCTTCCCTCCTCAGACCATCCCTCCCGACCAGGAGCTGCTCGTCTGGTACGGAAACTCTCACAACACATTCCTGGGAATCCCTGGAATTCCTGGAGGAGAGGACGAACAGAGCAAGAAGACCAAGAGCGGTAATCATTATTGATTATTGATCAGTGAGGTCATTCATAAATCTACTCAGTTAGCCAAACATCCAGCAGCGCTGCAAGAACCCTGAAAACAGCAGCAAAAACATTGTTTCATTGATATTTTATTAAATCTGTGTTGGAGTCATCGAAAGGGCTTTAATCCATCACACTGTTACTATTATTAGTATTATTACACATGAAGTTCTTTCAGATATAAAATATTATTTTGGAAAATAAAAATTAATATTATTATGAATGTGTGTGAAAAATAATGTATATTTAATTTATCTTTAATCAGTCTGGAATAATAACTATTTAAAAAGTAAATGTATATTTTATATTTGGTTTTATTAAAAGTGTGTGTGTGTGTGTGTGTGTGTGTGTTATAATGGATAATATAAGTATATCATTGTAATATTGCAGTTAAAGTACACATTAGTATAAAAGTGTACACATTTAAAATTTGTAGTAATAATAATAATATAATAAAATGACAAATTAAAAATTTAATGCATATATGTTCAAATATATTATTGTTGGATTGCTATTCATAGAACTAATAATCATTATTATAGGAAAAATAAATAACATATATATAGTTCCATACATATTTAATGTTATAATAATAATAATAATAATAATATCCATCCATCCATTCGCTTCCGCTTATCCTTTTCAGGGTCGCGGGGGCGCTGGAGCCTATCCCAGCTGTCATAGTGCGAGAGGCGGGGTACACCCTGGACAGGTCGCCAGTCTGTCACAGGGCCAACACACAGGGACAGACAACCATTCGCACTCACATTCACACCTAGTGACAATTTGGATTATCCAATTAACCTATCCCCACAAGATGCATGTCTTTGGACGGTGGGAGGAAGTCGGAGTACCCGGAGAGAACCCACGCAAACACAGGGAGAACATGCAAACTCCACACAGAAAGACCCCGGCCTGATGGTGGAATTGAACTCAGGACCTTCTTGCTGTGCGGCAACAGTGCTAACCACCGTGCCACCGTGCTGCCATACATATATATATATATATATATATATATATATAATAATAATATAATAATAATAATAATAATAATAATAATAATAAGATAATAATATAATAATAATAATAATAATAATAATAATATAATAATAATAATAATAATAATAATAATAATAAGAAGAAGAAGAAGAAGAAGAAGAAGAAGAAGAAGCAGCCAAGTTTCAGAGAGGTGCTGTTGGGGCAGAAGCTTGACAGTGACAGTGGGAAGGAAACACTCTGTGAGGCGATTGTTGTTGTGATTTGGTGCTGTATAAATAAAGTTGAATTGAAAGGTTCCTCTCCACAGGTGAGAGGGTGGTCTCAGAGTTCAGTCTGAAGCTCTTCTTCTTCTCTGCAGATGATTTCCACACCTGTGAAGGCTCCACCTCCACGACCTCCACTTCTTCCACCAGTCTTGGGCGCATGCGATGTGTTATCTGCCACCGCGGCTTCAACTCCCGCAGCAACCTGCGCTCGCACATGCGCATCCACACTCTGGACAAGCCCTTCGTCTGTCGCTTCTGCAACCGGCGCTTCAGCCAGTCATCCACACTGAGGAACCACGTCCGGCTGCACACCGGAGAGCGCCCTTACAAGTGCCACGTCTGCCAGTCCGCGTACTCGCAGCTGGCTGGTTTGCGGGCGCACCAGAAGAGCGCCAGGCACCGCCCCACGGGGGACAGCGCCGCCCCAGGAGGAGGTGTACTGGTGGTTGGAGGCGGAGGCGGAGGTGGGGTGCACTCGACGCACTCGCCGCCTCCTCCTCACCCTCCCCAGCTGACCGCCGTGCCTCACCCAGCGTCGCTGGTTCACCACATACCCACCATGGTGCTGTGATGGGGCGACAGCGAGAGGAGACGAGCTGAAATAACTGACGCGCACATGGACACGTTTCAGGCTGGAAATAAGACAGGAACCTGCTCACGTCTCATCAACCAATCACAGAGAGATGTTTCCAACCAACCACTAGAGGGCGCCATCGTCTTCTGCAGAAACAGCAACAATAAGAAAAAGCAAAGCTTCGTCATTAAACTCACCTCTGGCAACAAACAAACGTCCTCCTCCAAACAGCTCCATCACCCAACCCAGGGCACTTCCTGTGAGGGGGGGGCGCTGTTACGTGCATGGAAACGAGTTTTAGCCGACATATGACCCTCCGCCCCCCGTACCCCACACACTGGTACAGTTTGTTCTGAATGCGCTGCTTCGTGAGGACAAGCTGAAACAAAAGATGCAGGCTCCTGTTGCATGACCAGTCGTGTTCGGTCCTTCATGTATGTTTGAATCTGTGTCTGTGAGCTTACGTGTGCCGTGCTTTGGTCTGCATGCTCCAGCTTCTGTGTTAAAGGATGTCATGTATGTGTGAAAACAAGAAGAAGATGCTAAAGTCGCCAAGTCTTTCAACACTCAGACTTCTTCAGAGGACAACACTGAGTTTCTGGTAGACAGCCCACCTGGTCAGTTTGTCCAGGTGTGGTCATAGTGAAAAGAAAGTACAGGACATATCAGCTGCTTAACTGGTTTCAAAATGATTTAAATCTGATGAACAACAACACAGTCTGTGAAATCCTAAGTCCACCCTTTGTTTGGATGGAAGGGTTACTAGTGAAAGCCTCTTCTCAGTTTAGGTTGCCAAACCCCACCAACACCTCGTACCAACTGTCAGCACGGTGGCTCGCTGAATGAACCATGAACTCCTCTGTATGCCAAAGTATTCACATGTGAGGCCGTCTGTCTCACAGCTAAAGCTTGGACCAAACCGGACATTGATTACAAGCACAGCAGGAAACCTGCAGCAGAACGGCTGGAAAAAAAAAAGAATGAAGCTGCTGCAGCGGTCCAGTCAAAGTCCAGACCTCAGAGAGCTGTGCATGAATGAATGCTGGTTTTACTTACCGCTGAAGCGTGGGGTGGACTCAGTTTTTCACAGGACTGCATGCTGTGCCTGAATACTAATTCAGTAGTAATGTGTTAGTTTGTTGAGTTAATTATAAAATAACTATTTGTGACTACATTCATCTATTATCAGAGCAACTTTATTGACACTTTAGCCTTGTTATGCAGCATTAGCCACCACGCTAGCACTTTAGCTTACACGTTATGTATTTAATTTAAAAAAGCTCAAATGAAAATTTTAAATGTAGAGCATTATTTTACTTTCACTCTAAAAGTTTTAGTTTTAAACACTTTAAGCTTAAATGGTACCTGCTAGCCTAACAAAGCGTGGTAGTTACAGATAGTTTCATACAAATGTATTAGCCTGCTAAGGCAAATTAGCAGGCTAATGAATACATTCATGTATTTTATCTCATGCTCACCACTGAAGAAGGAAGTTGTGTTTTGATATTTGGTGCAGCGTTAGCTGCATGCTAACATGTTAGCTACAAACACATCACTGACCAACAAATCAGTCTGCTAAAAAGTCATTAAATCCCTCTGAAGAAGTTAACCACTTATTAGAGTAAGTAGAGTCTGAAATTTAGCATGTTTTACTGTTTTTTCATTATTAATGCTGATAATGTTTTAGCTGTGATGCTAACTAATTAGCAGGCCTAAACGGGCTAACAGATATGTTTGATAGAAAAAAAGAGAACTGTAATTTTTTCTCTTCCCCACTTTTTACCCTGAGGCCTGATTTGTGTATATGATGCTCAGAATGATGACAAGAGACACTAATAACTGACTGAGCCTGTTAACTGACAACTAGCTGTCAGGCCTTATTTCCTGCTGTGTAAATTAGCATCGTCAAAGATAAGAATGTGAATATAAACATGAGATATGCCCAGAACATAATTCTATTGTCACTTTATCTCTGTATATGTATATGTAGAAGGTCATATATGGCACATGTATTGGTAATGAAGTATGTTGACTTCTAAAAGGGACACTGTATTTGAGCCTATATACTCTTAATAAAGTGTTACTGTATCTCATCTTCACCCAGCAGTCGCCTCAGGACAACTGTAAGCTAAGGTAAAGGTAAAGACCCTGCAATAATACAGAGAAAACCCAAGAATCTGACAAGCTCCAGTGAGGAAGCACTTGGTGACACACACACACACACACACACGCATGCACACACACACATACACGCACACACACACACGCATGTACACACGTACACGCACACGTACACGCATGCACACACACGCATGCACACACACACACACATACGCATGCACACACACACATACGTACACGCATGCACACACACACACACGTACACGCATGCACACACACACACACACACGTACACGCATGCACACACACGCATGCACACACACACACACACATACGCATGCACACACACACACACGTACACGCATGCACACACACACACACACGTACACGCATGCACACACATACGTACACGCATGCACACACACACACACACACACGTACACGCATGCACACACACGCATGCACACACACACACACACACACACATACGCATGCACACACACACACACGTACACGCATGCATGCACACACACACACACACACACGTACACGCATGCACACACACACACACACGTACACGCATGCACACACATACGTACACGCATGCACACACACACACACACGTACACGCATGCACACACACGCATGCACACACACACACACACACATACGCATGCACACACACACACACGTACACGCATGCACACACACACATACGCATGCACACACGCACACAATGGCATCAACTGGGAATTTAGTGTCTTGCCCAAGACTGGAGCAGCCAGATCGAACCACCAACGTCCAATAAGTAGATGACCCGATTGACCTCCTGAGCTGCAGCTCTTTGAAGAACGTTTGCGATGAAGGGAAGGTTGGAGACTGGCTGGGCTGCTTTAACAAGGAAAAGGTCAAACACTGCATGAAGTTTGCTGGGATAGGAGGAGTCAGAGGAAGGACCAGTTCCCTGTGCAGCATAGTTTAGCTGGTGGGCATGTACTGGAGTCAGGACGTGTCTGTGTTCATCTGGATGTTTCAGTGGGAGAAACGTTTCATCATCATCAGGTGACTTCTTCAATCTAGACTTGTCGTCAAGACCGAGACCAAAAAGTCTTTAAGCTGCAGCCAGATGCTGCTTCGTTTACGGGTGTCGGGCATATTATGTGTTTTTGCGATGCACAGCCCTCCTCACCGCTGTCCACTGTCTCACTCACTGAGAGGACGGACGCACGCTCCACGTGACTCTCACCCTCTCTGTTTTTCACACAATGATATTATCCTATATCCTCGCATGTGATTGGCCACAATATGGAGGGATTGGAGCATAGCTGAGCCCCTGTGTGAGAGCTGAGCAGCCAAAGGAAATTAGGTGAGGAGCGGCTCTCGCTCAGTGGGAGTCGAGTCTGATTCACTACAAAGCGCTCTGTAAGCACGGCTCTTAGAGCTGATGCTTTTGAAATGACACATCATCGAACGTTACAGTGTGTGTCATGGAAACTGTTGACTCCAGATCTCCCGACCACTATGTCGATCTGAGACGGCGAGACCGAGACAAGACGGAGACAAGACGGAGACCACGTAAAAGTGGTCTCGAGACATCAAGTCTACTTCAGTCTCAGCTGAGTGTAGGCCTCCAACCTTATAAACAGGACACTGACTGAAACCAGTAGCACTGACAACAGTGCGCTGTGAGGTGACTAAACACATCACTGTGTTTAGTGATGTGTGGAGCGAGGACCCAAATGCAGCCTAACCGTAGCCCGGCTGGAGCAAACAAACATAATGGAAGCAAACTGATCTCTGTCATGGTCGGCTGTGTGGCAGGCAGGCAGGAGTGGTGGACCCAAAATGCAGGACTCTTAGGAAACGAGGGTTCAACTGAAAATGCAGCTTTACAAAACTCACAAAAGCAAACAAAACTCTAAACTGAGATGCAGGAGGACTGGAAATCATGAACACACAGCAAGTGCGGGTGAACAGCCGTTAACGACGCGACACTGACACAAAGACACACTGGGCTTAAATACATGAGGGAGTCATCAAGGAATTAGAGACAGAAGGGGGACACAGCTGGGAGAAATAAGACCTAACGAGACAGGGAGAGCAAAGCCGGAACACTGACATCAGACAGGAACAAGAACCTTCAAAGTAAAACAGGAAACAAAACACACTTTACTAAGACACGGACTAGACAGAGAGAGACAGACTCGACACTGACCAAAGTCTACTAAATAATAATCATAATCAAAACAGTATCACTGATAAATCAAATGATAAATCATAATCTAGAAAAACACCAAAGGATGAAAAACAGAAAGCTGGGTCAACATGACCCAGAACCGTGACAATCTCAGTGCATATGAGACAGAGGCCCAGACATGACTGAGCTGAGGGAGAGACAGATACGAGCAGAGCAGAGAAACAATACACAAGATCTCAAACCTCATTCCAGAAATAACTAACACTTCCACGCAAACACAAACCCGGGACAGCGACAGTCTGTGAGGGACCCGCAACCCAAACCAGGTACAAAACGTAGGACTGTAGAAGATGTTCATCAAGGGTTGCAGTTTCTCCGGGTTTAGATGGATTCTGATGGCCCCAATTCCCAGGTGGTGCAACACCTGGTGGTGCAGATGCTCCTCAGAGACAGAAAGGCCTCGGAGGTCTGCAGCCCAGTAAGAGCAGAACCACCAGAAAACCCAGATCTGATCTCACAGCAGTCTCAGCCTTCAGACGTTGTTTGCTCTTGTTGTGGTCACCGCGCCCTCTAGTGGGCGCTAACAACACCTCACTCAGTTGGTCTGTTTTATTAAAATTCTCCAAAATGCTTTAGTGTTGACCTTTGATCGTGTTTTCTGGCGTCGCGAGGAGCCCGGCCGGCAGCAGACAGGTGACTGCCTGCGTTCTGATAACCTGAGAGTCAACAGTGTTAGGTAAGACCCAAAAACCCCCTGCTGAGTAAACTCACCTTTGTTACACACTCAGCTCTGCATACAAACAAACAGGAGCTTCCACCTCGGTTGTGTTTCACTGAGGACCCCCAGCTGTTTGCCAATAGCCGAGTAAATGAATAACTAATCAAATCCAGCTGTGTCGCTCAGTTCTCTGCAGAGCTCAGTGTGCTTCTTACCTTCAGGATGAAGGTGTGTGTCCTCCTCGCGTGTGTGTGGCTTCTCTGCTGGAGGTCGGAGGCTCAGTCCAGCTCGTAAGTCTGTTTGAACTTTATTACTTGTTAATGAATGTTTTATTACCCTGCAGCCTCCCATTTACTGCCGCAGCTGTTTTGGGCTTAAACAGCTGTGTTCATGTTCAGCTGCAGGGTGTGCAGAAGAAACAAAGGGTCAGAACAACTTATTTGATGCCCAAGCACAAAGAAGCTTGTAGCGTCCTGCATTTCCTCAATCAGGCCGGCCGTGTCAAACAGCAGAGAGTCAGCGTGGTCCTCGTTAGTCCTGTTTACCGTCCATCAGGTCACCAGTGGATAAGTGAGGGTTAAGGTTAGGTTGAATTTCCCCACATGCTAAACATGCCCAGCTTTTCAAACTAGAAGATTTTACCTCTCAACCAAATCTCATAGATCCATTTTGACCTTCCAGCTTTCCGGCACGCCAAACAGGTGAAAATTCCATATAAATGTGATCCTATTCCAAACAGGTCGGTGGAAACCTGTGGGTGTTAAGAGGTTAAGAACCACAGAATCAATAACCTCTATAGACAGGGACAAGGTTTTTGTGCAAGAAGCTTTTGTTGACCAATCACATTTGACCGGGTGAGTCACACACCTCCAGGAGAGCGTTAACCAACCCAAACGCCCCCTTGCTCAACGGTCATGTTTACCAAGGCTTCAGCAGGTTCCAGTACAGGTGCAGAGCAGTCGGGGCTGTTTTTGCAACCAGCATTTTAAATTTGCAGCTGCAACAAAGTTTGTAGTGATAGGTTTGTAGCTTGAACCTATTCGCTGGAACGTTGAAGGCAATATAATCACACAGCAAGCAAGACACGAAGTAGGCAAAGTTCTTCATGTTTCTCGTGCACGGGAGAGAACCGGACAGACGCCGTTCCTTCGCTTGACCCCAGTTGCTCTCGTTCGTTCTCCCGTAACACTGTTGTTTTATTGAGGCTACATGAATATGCATAGGTTCATTAACATATGATGTCTACATACACACAAAGAGTACCGTGTGTGTGTGTGTGTGTGTGTGTGTGTGTGTGTGTGTGTGTGTGTGTGTGTGTGTGTGTGTGTGTGTGTGTGTGTGTGTGTGTTACTGCTGATCAAAGGGTCCTATAACATAAAAGCACAAACGCAAACATCCTTGGTCAGGAAGAGGGTAGCCTCCCCCTCACCCTAGATGGTTCACCCTAGATTTCCCCCAGGGATCAATAAAGTATTCTGATTCTGATTCTGATAACACGGTGAGGAAGTCCAGCATTTAAAGCACTTAGACTAGAACAGACGTAGCTACGTTAATCCTACCATAAAACAATAAGACAAGGTACGACCTCTCTCGTGCTCCCAGAGTGCTCTCTAATGCACACAAAGTTTGCAGACTATCACTACACAATCGATTATACACCTCTAAGCATATATGGTTAAATATTTCTTAGCATAAATGACAATCAACAATACAAAACCTAACATGTAGTCTTTCGATAAAAAGAGCTGCAAGATAACGTTGTTGTGAGTTGGCACTATGTGATAAACTGAAATCTTCACACCGAGTTCTGAGTTTCCAGCAGCCTGAAATAAACCAAAATTACATCCAGTTGACTTTAAAGACCCCGAAATAAGAAGGTGGAAAAAACTACTAAAGGTTTGTTTCACCCTTTAAAGACACCTTTGAACTCTTTGGGTACTTCCTGGAGATTGAGAGCATTGGACTTGTGAGGATGTGTGTGGGGGAAACAGCTCGTAGCTTGCATGGAGTGTGAGTCTGTGAAGGTTCTCAGTCATCCAGGT